CTGCGCTGCCAGGCTGGGCGCGGAGGGGGCAGTGCGCGCGGGGCGCCCGGCGCGGGCAGGAGGCGCCCGTCGCTGCTGCGCTCCGGCTGCGACGGCTGGCCGAGCGCTGTGCACGGGCAACCTCCTGGCAGGCTCGCCGTGGACCGGGCGGGAGCTGACGTCACGCGCGGGATGGTGTTGCTGGGGCAGCTGGGGAAGCACGGGGCGGAGACTGCCCCCCCCCCAGCACTTGCTCCCCGCCCCGCCCGCCCCGCCCGCGCGCTTCTCCGGAGCGCCTCCGTGCACCGCTGCGCCGGCGCTCCAAGGAGAGCATCCCTCGGCGCCCTCGTCCTCCAGCGAGGAGAAAGCGCCCAGTGTATGGCACCCCGGGGGAAAGGGGAGGGGGCGCTCCCCCTTCCGCGCCCCGGCACGGCTGCTCTGCCCTGACAGCCCTTCAAGAGGCGCGCCCCGCGGGCGGATCACATCCACGGGCGCCCCGGCCCAGACAGCCGCGATCATCGCCCGGGCCCCGCACCTGGCCCGCGGAGCTCTCCTGCAAGCCTCTGGCGACGACGAGAGCGATTCGCCGCGGACGGTCTAACCGCCCCTCCAGGCGTCGTGCTCGCTGCCGCAATCTGCGGGAAGCCCCAAAGCTCAGCCTGAAGGGAAAGCCCCCACCTGCAAATACACCCCCCGCTGCGGCCCTCCAGTAACTGCTTTGCTCTGGCTTACTGGCATGTAGCGGGGTATGGCTTGGGCACGGGAATCCATGGCACAGCTGCCACAGCTCTGTGGACTTTCTCGGCTGGACGCCAGGGAAAGTTGTTGCCGGTCTGAGTTTACTGGGCTAGATGGAGAAACAGTGAGACTTACGAGAAGGCAGCTTTGAAGCTCCTGAACAATTGCTAAGTGCACGACATTGCATTCGTTGATCTCCATAATCCGATTAGCATCTCTTTCATTTCCACAGATTGTCCATGCTGAAATTGCACAGTCTTTGGGCGCGGGGAATTTTTTAGTTTTATTTACGTTCTGTAACTGAAGCAACCTCGCAACGTGCAATGGCTTTGGAGCTTGAGTTTGCAAACGAGCTGCCTGGGCTTATGCAGAGAAGATAGCACACCACTATCGTGTATTGATTTTCTTTATTTTTTTAAATCCTAGTTTCTTTCTTGCAGGGCACCCAAGGTGGCTTATAAAGTCTCCCTCTCTGCCTCCCCATTTTATCCTCACAACAGCCCTGCGAAGTTGGTTAGGCTGAGAGGCTGTGGCTGGCCCAAAGTCACCCAGTGCGTTCCAGATCCAAGTGGGGACTGGAGACCAGATCTTCTGAGTCCTAGCTGAACACTAACCATTTTGCTGCACTGGCTGCATCCCCCCCCCCCCGTATGCCCTATGTGCACTGTTGGTGTGTCAGCAGCCCTCCTCCCGCACAACTGCGCAGCAAGAACTTCCTCTCACGTTCCAAAGGTGTGGAACCTGCATCCTCATTGTCAGCATCCCCTGGAGCCTGCACACTTCTCTCCCTTTGTAGCTGGCACTGCCATTGTTGTGTGCAGAGATATTTTTAATTCTTCACCCACCACGATTATTAAGAAAATCAACAGTTACTGCATTTAGCTGCAAACAGCCTGCAGTGGAATAATTGTATGGAGCAGAGCAAGCTAGTGCCAGACGCAAGCAAAGGGGGCAGCGCAAGGATGGGGGCAGGGGCGAAGAGATGGGCCCTGTTGTCACTGGCATCCTTGGCAGGGATGGGGAGGGGTGTGTGAGAGCCAACGTGAAGGGCAAAGAAAGGAGGGCACTGGCAAGCTGCCCACCTTGCCCGCTGTTGCCTCCGAAGCTTTGCTTTAGTCACAACATCTGGGACTCAGCAGTTGCTTCCCAGGATGCATACGGGGGAGGCTCAAGAAGTGGAGAGGCAAGCTCAGAAGCAGCAGTGTGGGACTGGCAGCGCACTGGATGGGCTGTTCCAGAGGATGCCCACCCGCTCAAGTCCAAGGGGTACCGCATCCAACTGAATGTCCAGCCCTTTCACCTCCCGGCATGCTGAAAATGCCTGCCTGAGATGCATTCAGAAAGTAGCATCAGGGAAAGGTAAGAGGCCCGAATTGTGCCTCTGAGCAAGCAGACAGGTGGCATTTTAGCGACCACTTTGAAAGCATCTTTAATTACTTCATGCAGAAAAGGAAACATGACAAAAGTCAGTGTCCCACTTACTGGGAGAGTAGAAGCGCATCCTGCCTGAGGGCCAGGTTCCATTTTGGAAAACCTCTTGGAGTCTGCATTCCCATGGTAGGTGTGGCTGAAGGTCGGAGCTGGGACTAAAAATAACACACTGTAGCTTCAACAATCCATGTCTACTTATAGCCAAGCCTTAGCAGAAGGCCTTTGAGAAGCAGCAAGGGAGGACACTGGAAAACCAGGAAGCCACTCCATGGATAGTGGAAAAGAATAGCAGATGTGTTCTCTGATTGCCAGTCCTTCTGTATCCAGACAAACAACCTCCAAAAGTGAAAGGGAGGAGGTTCAGGGAAAGCCAAATCTGGAAAAAGCACTCTCCCACACACCCCAAAGTAAATGCCTTGAGTGAGCAGACACATAGCACCCAACAGAATATGAGGAGTGAGCAGGCTCAGTGGGCACAAGATTCTGACTTTTGGGGGAAGGGACCAGAGGACCAGTTGGAGGAGGCAAAAACACAATGGAATTCCTTGGAAGAGGGCATAGCTACCTGGAAGCCTAAACAGGATCATACCACACTGCAAACATTGTTGTTAGTAGCACTTGTTACTTGCATAACCCATACCAGTCTTTGCAGTTGGTTGATGCTTTTGTCTTAGACCCCTATCCCCTGACCCTATTACACTATTACCATTCTTCCTCAGTATTTCAGATTTGCAACAACATTGGCATTTTGGTAGTCTGCATATTGAATGACTGCTATGTAAGCTGTGGAGGCCACAGTTTTATACAGACATGAGCTAAATAGGCTTAGGTCTGAGTAGAGATGGATGGGAACGTGCTAACCCAGTAAAGAGACATTTGGAATGCCCCAAAACATTGGAATGATTGGCTCAGAGACTTTATACTAGGGAATCTTGCATTTCCATGTTAAAGCAATAGCTCTGCATTGTGTTGTTTAACATTTCCAAGCAGGACTTTAACAGCTGGATTTCTCAAAAGGGCCTTTTCAGTGGTGGAAGTCCAGCAGTGCTATGCCTTCCTCAGTCACATGTACACCATTGTTTGTTTCTTGATGTTGCTTTTAGGTTCCATTTTATACTCCTACTCTTTTAGTTCTTTGGGATATTTTTAATATTGATACTGATGACAATGATAAATGCATTAGAATGTTTTAAAGTCTTTGCACTGCTGTGGGTTTTACTTTCTTTAAAAACTTGGTTTTATTTGGTTATTTTATTAGCATTTTTATTGCTATTTTTATTGGGTTCTTGCTGTTGTATTGCACTGTCTTTGTTTTTAATATTTTATTGGTTTTATGAGTTTTATTGTGTGCTGCCTGGGGTAGAGGGGGAACTTCTGCCCTGAAAGGAGACCAAGAAATAGTTTGAATGAAATAATACAGCACTGCTCCTTCTCTTGCTGTTGCTGTTGCAAGGGAAGGAGCATGGTGGAGAAAACACCAGCACCTCCACTTGGCCTTGGTGCCACATGGGATGCCCAGCAAATGAACAGCACCCAGGAAGAGGTGGATTGGTGGTGGGGGGTCCCCCCGGGAAAGTTCCCCCGTAATAGAATCTTGCACAGGAGTTCCCCAAGATTGGACCTACTGAAAAAAAGAAAAGAAACTCCACAAATGCCAATTTCCAGCACTTACATGTTTTCCAAAGAATTCTGTATCTTGAAAAGAACAAATTTGGTATCAAGGGCAAGGGCAAAGCCAGGTAACTTTCAGGTGGCCATGCGGTCTACTTAGGAAGGATAATACTCTGTTTGAAAGGCTGCTCTGTCTGTTTTGGGTTTCAAGATGCCACAGTACAACTGTGGTGGGGGAGAGGAGACAGACAGGTCCCAGGTGTCTGTCTTCTGTTCTGTGACAAGGTGTACTGTATTTCTGCATGTCTTTTAATATTTGCAGCTGTGCATACAAATGAATGCATGTAAATTTTATGCAGGTCCCTGCCCCTTCTGCTGCTGATGCAGGTCTTCTTTTTTGGAGATTTATAGCTGGTCCTTTTATGACTGTGCCCTAAAAAATGCAGGCTTTAGATGCAGGACATGTTAAAATCTCATCCTGTAAAGTAAAATGATATTCCCCAGTGCAGAATTAGAACAGGAACACATTGTGACTAATGGGAAAAATTGTTTCCTTTTGGTTGATCTGAACACCTTGCTCAATTAGATTGAGAATGAGGAGATTAATTTTCTGATGGATAGGCTGAATGGGGCAGGGGTAATTAGAAATATGGGCTTTCAGAGAGGGAAAATAATCAGCTTTCATAGGATGAATCTGTCCGTGCACCTCCACAATCTTCACAAGGCCACACAAGGCCCTACCATTTAGATCCTGCTCCAAGCACTGATGACAGGTTGTGATTTATTGAGCT